TTTCCTTTTCTACAAATAATCTTTGATTTCTTTCTTCTCAAATTGTTAACACATAGCACCTCTCATGCATCTCCACAAAATCTTGCCTCTTCTTTTCTTCCATCTAACAAAGGTGGGGTAGAAGAGGTTTTGTACAATTGGAAGGGGACTCCACCTGCACCCAAATAAGGAGAGAAACCAATTCCAAATTGGAAAAACAAAAGGACAAGATATCAATAAGTGATGGGCAGACTCACCATTACCCTTGCAGAGAAGACACCAATGAGGAGATAAGCACCGGTTAGGTCTTTTCCTTTGGAGCAAGTCACAAGTGTTGACCCTACCAAGAAACACTTCCCAACAGAAACCACCAATCCTAGGTGGAATAGGATTACTCCAAACCTCATTAACTGGGAAAAGTTGGCCTTAGCTATCATTAGTCTGGGTAAGAGAGAAAGAAAGAAGCACAAGAAAGGTACCCGATGGGGATAGAGTCCAGATTCTGCAATCCCTTCTTGAATATTAAGGTAATAGCATTGTTGGCCTCACAATCTCTAAGACCTCCTAAGACCCAAGTCCCAAACAAATCCAGAGGAGTTGGAATGGTTTATAAACGAGGCAATAGGTTCACCCTTCCGGTTAGATATTGCATAAATTGAGGGAAATTGCTCTTTGAGAGTTGCATCACCCAAGATTACTAGAGCAAAACTTATACCTGAAAAATGGTAAGAATGAAGGAAGAGTGGCATCCCAACCAAAGCAAGGGTTAGGTAATATTCAGGGTTATACCTGCCAAAAGGCTTCCAAGGGGAAGCTCTTGTAGCCCTGGCCAACACACCAACATCCTAACCATCAGCCGTAAGACCATGAATACTGATAATCACTTTCATCCATAGCTTATCGCTATTAATTGGCAATCTCCAAAGCCATTTTGCAAGCAGAGCCACATTCATCTTCTGAATATTCCCTAATCCTAGCCCTCCAAATTTCTTACTTCTTTTAACCACCTTCCAGCTGACTCTATGGTGTCTCTTCTCCTCCCTTGATTCCCATAAGAAGCTCCTCAACTCTACACTCAAACGCTGCTGCACATTCTGAAAGCACCTCACTTCCAATGTTACCCATTCCTATCATCACACTTTTGGAGAGGTTCACTTTCAGCCCAGTCAGCACCTCAAAACTTGCCAAAAATAGCTCTCAAATTTAAGACTTGCTCCACCAATGCATCCAAAAAAATTACCGTGTCATCAACATACTATTTGCCCCAACTTTAAATCCACCAATAAACCTCGAGTGAACTTCTTTAGCCATTAACAGATTTAGAACCTCCTCCATAACTAACACAAAGAGCAAAAAAAAAGGGTCACCTTGCCACAAACCCCTAGATGCTGGGATAAAGTCTGTTGAAACTCCATTAAAAAGAGTATTGAGAAAGCAACTAAGACATACATGAAAACACCCAGCTTCTCCATCTCTCCCCAAAACCCATCAATCTTTGCACCTCTTCCAAGAACCTCTACTCAACATGACTGTATGTTTTTTTAATACCGATCTTACAGACCAAACCAGCTCTCCTACTACTTACACTTGAGTCAGTACACTCACTTGCCACTAAGACCCCATCAAAAACTTGTCTTCCTTTCACAAATGCTATTTGAGATTTTATGAACCACTCCTCTTTTGCCAACAATTTATAAGGACTATTGATCAAACTTATTGGTCTAAAATCTTTTATGTACAGAGTTCCTTCTTTCTTCTGTATCAAAGAGATGAACATAGCGTTTGCCATTTTTCCAGCAATCTTTCATCATGAAACTCCTTAAACATCATCAAGATATCCTCCTTGAGACAATTCCAGCAAGCTTTATGAAGGTAAATTTGAACCCATCCGGACCCTGTGTTAATTTCCATCAATTCCTTTTAGATCTTCCTTTATTTCATCCATCTTGAATTCCCTCTCAATCCTACATGCTGAGAATTCACTCAATTTTCTGGGTTCAATCTCGCCAAGAGACACCCAACTCCATGTTCTTGCTGTATAGAGCTTATTATTAGAAACCCAACACCTTCTCCTGCATCTCTTCCCCAGTTTCTGCCACCTCATCCTCCACTTTAATTCTTGAAATCAGGTTTTTCCTTCTTCTAGCATTGACATAAGCATGGAAAAAATCTGTGTTTTTATCTCCAGATTTAAGCCAAATTGCCTTTGACTTTTGTCTCCAATTAATCTTCTCTATATAAATCATTCTTGCTGATTCACTTTCTAGTCCTTTCCTTTCTTGCTTAGCAGCCCTAGACATATTACCCTCCTCTTCCATTCTATCCAATAAAGCCATTTTTTCAAGCACCTCATTCTTCCTGCTATACGCATTATCAAACACCTCCTTATTCCAACCCTTTATCTCCTCAGGAAGCTGCAACTTTCTTACCAATTTGAACCCACTGTCCCCTCCACCTGCAAACTTCCCTACTTCTTCAACCAAGCCAAAAAATTCAGAATGTTCTAACCACACGTTCTCAAACCCGAATCGTTTTAAACCTGATATGGCAGTGACCTTCCCTAATAAAACAGGTTTGTGATCTGACATGAAGTATGACAATGCTTGTTGCACCAATTCCCCAACATATTCCTCCCAATCAACTGAAGACAAGAATCTGTCCAACTTTCTCAGAATAGGTGGGCGTTGTCCTTTGACCTAGTGAAGCTGCCTCCTCTCAAGGGTCAATTAACCCATTACTCTTGATGAAATCCCCAAACCTCTTCATTCTCCTCTCCCTCCCACCCTTCATTTCACACATTACCGTTACTACATTAAATTCAACCCCTAAACACCAGGGCCCATCCCAATCCTGCCTCAAGCTTCCCAGTTCCTCCCAAAAAATCACCCAAACCTTCTTCATTAGGGCCATAAACACTTCTTATCCAGCTGAACTTCGATGTCTGTAGCATGGGTAATCGAGGGCTTCAGTTCAGGTATAGGAGTGTTTTGAAACAACAATTGGCAGATACTAATAATGTATTCTAGGCCTATTGGTGTGGGTGATTCAACAAGGGCTGAACTTTCAGCATTATTTTTTAATCGATCATTATGAAATTTTATGAAGGTTAAAAAAGAATGCTACTTACAGTATGCCATGCATTGGCCTGGATTTACCTATCCCTTTAATTGTATACATTACACTGCAGCTGCAAAAAATATGTTCCTTATTGATCCCTTGTTTAGCTAAAGTATCAGCTAGACCATTTGCTGATCTGCTCATCCACTTAAAAGTTGCTTCCGTCTCCCTTGAAGCATAATATTTCCCTTAATGTTCTCTTATAAGCCCATGCTGCTTGACTGTTGTTTTTTCATCCAGATCACCACAATTTTGGAATCACCTTCTATCTTGATTTTCTTGAAGTTGATAGTTGAGACGCTTAGCTATCTGAGCCCTCGTACAATTGCTTGTATCTGCCCTTAATGAGTCTCCCAGTCCAATTGACCTGGATAATAAAGCCAAAACAGAACCTCTACCATCCCTAAACACTCCCCCTATTCTAGAGGGCCCTGGGTTTCCAATTGAGCTTCCATCCAAGCTTAGCTTGATCTTTTCATTTTTTGATGGATACTAAATTTTGGCTATAGTTCTAATTGTTGAGGATGCCATCACTATTCTCCATCCTTGTAAGATGCCATCCATTGGAAATGCCTTAAACTCCTCCATGGTTTTAATCCAATGCACCACCTTGATAATTATGCTTTCTATAATTGCCTGTTTAGTTTGATTATGCTCTTTGAATAACCTAGCATTTTTCTCCTCCCAAATATTCCATAGGATCATTGCCCTTTACATTTCCGCATTATTCTCCCTCTCTTTTTATGCATCATCATGAGGCTCAAGTTGAAAAGGCTAGCAACATCTTGAGGAGGTATCCAGTTGCAATCAAAGAGAAAAGAAAACCACTTCCAAATACGACACAAATGAGCAGGAAATTAGTAAATGGTAAGAAGTCTCTCAACTTGTATAGAAAAGGAGGAAAACATGGGGGGATAGGCACCAAATGGTCTTGCCACCTCCCAACAAAATGCCCTAATTTTAGGAAGCAATGGTCTACTCTAAATTTCTTTTACTGGAAAAGAAAGGTAGGATTGTAAGGTTTTAAAAAAACATGGAAGAAAGAGGCACAACTGAAATGACCAGCTGGAGAAGCAGTCCAAATATGATTATCCAAACAAGTAGGATCCAAGAATACACTGTCTAGGGTTATCAAGAGGTTGGAGATAGCATTGAATTCCACATCTCCAAGGCCTCTTCTGAACCCCAAATGCTAGTTGACCCAGAAGTACAAGTCACAACAAACTAAGAAATGGATTCCAACTTATAAGAAGGGAGGGAATAGAGGTGAAGGTATTAATTCTTCAGTAAAGTCTCTCCCATCTGAAGGTCTTCCCAAAAGTAATATGTTATTCCACACACAAACATTGTATCTAATAGATTGTAAGAAGGTAGGAAGCAAACCGTGGATAACTTTCCAAGGAAAAGCCAAAGTGACTTTGGGGGGGGGGGATTCAGCATCCAGCTTTTGATCCTTAAACTATTATAATTTGTTGGTAGGAGGTGATTCAGAAGTGGTTGTAGGGTGGTTCCAAAAAACAACAAAGGGTTTTGGTAGTACAGACACATCATACGATAATGGTACTGCTTGGATGGACAAGGAAGAACATCTTTTATGTGGCTTCAATAATCAGCTAACTAGCTGATGAGCTAGCTAAAGGAGCATGGTGACTAGAGTTGTATTGGGGAAATATCCTCCTAGGTTCCATTTAATGAACATAATAGAATGTAATTTGGATCAATGGCACAGGCAGCAGAGGCCTTTATTTTAAGTGGTGCTAGGCACATTTGTCATGTACAACATTCTTATCTATAACTAATGAAGCTTTTAACACTATCAATGAAAAAAGCCTATGTAAATTTAGCTACATTGTCTTTTTCCCATTTTTAAACAAAACGAATGCTGATATGTTGTTTCACTCCAGGGTTAATAAGACAAAGATAGTAGAATATCTTCGTGATGCATGGGCCAATGATCAAAAAGCTGAATGGGCAATATGGATGGTCTTCTCTAAGGTTGAAACTCCCCATTGTTATATGAGAAGCGGAGAGGATGAAACATCTCAAGGTGTCCGTGGGAAGTTTTCACGGAAGCTAAGCGATGATGTAATTACTTTCACAAACCCTAGAAAATTAAGACAAGTTTAGAAGATCAATTGTTGTAGAACTTCCTTTTTTTATTACTTTGATGAAGTTTAAGCTTGATCTATTGTATATTCACTATTTTATATCATCCTGATGGAGATTAACATTTAAAAGTATAATTGTTTCCTGAATCTGGAATCACCTTTCATGTTTGCAGCCAGTTGAGATTGCAAATGCACGTGCTGAGCTTCATCGGCGAAGTATAGCACAGATGACAGTAAGTTCTTAATTTTTCATGTGTTGCTTCCTAATATTTACTGTCAAGTCTATTGGAGAATCTGAAAAGACATCTTTCCCAAACAGATTGACAATAAGTTGATTAAAGATATGAATATCTTTGGCGATCCTTTACGCATCCCTGTTATAACTGTGGAGCGTGTCATGAATTCTCCTCTTCATTCCACCAGTGGCAATTCATACTTCTCTCATACGGACCAGGAAGATGCATCTAACATACTAATGGGACCTGTAAATAAGCAATCTGATGCCAGCTGTCAAAGAAATGGTCGTGTTTTAAGAGTTGTTGTCTTTGTTCATGGATTTCAGGCATGTTTGCTTCTCTGGGAAATAGGTTTCAACTTGTGCTTCTAAACTTGTGTTTATGGTTTATGTATTGTTTTCTAGCATATTTAGATAAGTTGCTGCCTTTTCCAACTAAACTTGATGTTTTCCTGTAACAAGGCAAATGAGATGTTCTTATTTTATATGAAGTTTGCCACACTTTTCCAATTTGGAAATGGAATTAGTACAAGGTTTTAAAAGACTAAATGAGGAATGATGTAGGACTGATGCGATCCAAAGCTGGATTGAGAACAAATTTGAGGGAAACCAAAAGATAAGTGATGATGGTAAGGGGTTAGGTCCAATGTATGGGGTTGAGGGGCTAGATGTAGGTTAGAGAAGAGGGGATGAGGATTTGTCTAGGGTTTATAGATCATAGTTGTCAAGGCGTCACCTAGGCGAAAAGGTGCCCTTGGAGGTTCACCTCGCCTAATCGCCAAGCAGTTTTCTATAGCATATTATAAAAAACTTTTATATTCTTTATTTTTTGAGGTTATAATTATAAAACAGACATTTTTAAACTAAAATATTCATTTTGTGTGTTTATATACTAATTTCTTTTTATTATTTTATTATTTGTTAGGGTCTAATGAACACAGACATTGCAAAATTCTGTATTGAACCCTCAAAGACTTCAAAACCTAAACCCAATAAGTAAGGAAGAACATAAAATGTTGTCCAATCAGCCCCTATTTCTGTTATATTTTTTTGAATTTTCTTTTCTTTCTTCTTTTTCTTCTCATGAATATGTTGATTTTCTGTACTTTAACATGAAGTTTATACTTTTATTTTGAAAATTATGGATATTTATTAAGGAAATATGATTATGGAACCTAGGGATCTACCCTAGGATACATATTTTTACTTAAAAAAAATCCATCACCTAGGCAACTAGGCGACAAGGCATCCCCCTGTCGCCTAGGCTTGCCTTGGCACCTTGAAAACTATGACATAGATGTATGAAGTGATTAGGAAGCTAGTTAGTGATGAAATGCTTGCAATATGCAGAACTTTCTAGAGAAAAAACATGGAAATTTCAATATCTCAAGATTGGAATGGAATTTCTTCAAACTTTTTTAGAGGAAGGTTTATGTATGTGAACCAAAGCAGGAGATTGAATTTGGAGAGGTTTTGCGAAGGTTAGGCACAAAAAGACAAAAAATCTAGGTTTTTAGTGGAAAATTTTCACAACTGTTTTAATGGGATGAAAAACAGCCTTAGATATGGGGAATGGCTGAATCGGATCTGGTTTTCACAAGGGTTTGGCAGCTTTAGAGACAAGTTTCTCTCTCTGGAAGGGTGCATGGATGAGAACTGAAGGGTATGAAGGGGAGACTTACCTTGAATCAAATTTAGCCCTTTGGTTGATGAAGAATGATGGTTTTTATTGTATCTTTCTCAAGTCTTTGATGGCCATAGGTAGCTAAGATCAAAACCTTGAGATAGAAGACAGGAGATGAGAGTTGAGCAGGAAGCCAGGAAGACCAAAAAAGAAAAAAAAGGAAAAGAAAAGAAGCCTAGGAATCACTCCTAGGGTTCCTAGAATCATTTAGAGCTTTGGGAATCACTCCACCACAAGTCAGACATGTAGAAAATAAATACCAATATTTATTTCCCTCGTTTTACAACTTTACACAAACTGACATACATAGATTGTCAAGGGTTAGTCAAACTACTTTATTTATTTCTTTTTTGGAAAAAGTAATTTTATTCAGAACAAGAAAACATGCAAACAGAGATCAGGCCAAGGAAAACAGCCTGAGAACAACATAAGTTACAAGTTCCAATAGGACTGAGACCTAAATAAAATAGGCAAGTTCAGGTGCCTGAACTCCTCAGTAACAGACACCCAAGAGATCAGCTTGCCCACTGCTCTCTGTACTGGGTCTTCAGGACTTTTAATTCTATTGCAGAAGATTCTATTGTTCCTTTCAGTCCAAATGGACCACAAAACTGCTGTAGGAATGGTCCTCCACACTAATTTTCCTTTCTTAGGTCTTTTACTTTCCAGCAGCATAGAAGCTTCTTGACCGACCTAGGCATAACCCAGCTGATGTCCATAGATTTCAGAAAGTGCTCCCACACCTGAGAGGAGACCGAACAGTGAAGACACAAATGATCTGTAGATTCTGGAAGAGAACCACAAAGACCACAAGAAAGATCCAAGATTTGAATGCCATACCTCTCAAGATTAGATCTGGGAAGGCATTTGTCAAGGGCCATTGTCCACACCAGAAAGTTGGATCTAGATGGACTTGTTTGATTCCAGTTCTGAGTAGTAGGGAAGTCTGTGGGGCCCGAGCTGCATAATTTAGAAGCTAGAGGTTTGACAGAAAAACAACCATCAGGATTCCATTTCCAGCACCAATTACCTTTCAAGCCAAGGTCTAACTTCTGCTTCTGAAGAAGATCCATCAGCTCCAAAATCTCTTCCAACTCCCAGTCAAATAAATTCCTCCTAAAGAGGGGGGGGGGTCCAAATAAAAGAGTCTCCTGAGGAACAATAACTCTCAGCCACTGAGGAATCTTGATTAGAAGCACACTGAAATAGGTGAGGAAAGGAATCAGCCAATGGGCCATCCAAGCACCAAGGGTCCTTCCAAAATTTAGTGCTATCCCCTTTCCCAATCTTGACTGAAATTCCTTCCATAAAAGTAGAAAAATTCTTCATGATACCTTTCCAAAGGGAGTTACCCCAACTTATCTCCAGTTACCCCACTCCACCCCATATTTTCCAGCTATAAGAGATCTCCACCAAGCATTCCTTTTAGAAGAAAACCTCCAAATCCACTTACTAAGAAGGGCTGAATTAAAACTCTTTAATTTCCTTATTCCTAAACCACCTTCTGCCTTAGGAAGACACACTTGGTCCCACTTGACTAAGTGGATTTTGTTTTTCTCTTCCCAACCCCTCCAAAGAAAGTTTCTCTGAAGCTGCTCCTATCTTTTTGCTACTTTGTTTGGGATAGGGAAAAGAGACAAGAAATAAGTGGGCAGATTGGAAAGGGTACTTTTTATCAGAGTAACCCTGCCCCCAAAAGAGATGTATCTTGCCTTCCAAGATGCTAATTTTTCTCTCCATTCTTTCAATGACCGAGTCCCACACTGAGGAAGAAGACTAATTTGCCCCCAAGGGCATTTGCAAATATTTCACAGGGAGGAAATCAACTTGACAAGCCAACACCTCAGCACAATCTTCTAAATTGGCAACTTGCCCCACAATCTTCTAAATTGTAATATTTAATTCTTTAACCAATAGCTTTCATAGAAGTACTTCGACAATTTGACTAGTCTAATGGAAAAACTCATATTACATTACTAAGAATTAAATATGCTAGCAAGAAATCATATGGAACCAGCTAGAAACCAAAAACGAAAAGGAAGAAAAAAAAAGAAACCTTAATTACAGGTTTGTTCATGAGATATAGGAAAACATCATCCCACAATTCTAGCATTGAAATTGTTCATAGAATATTAAATATTTGAGCTGTGTTAAAAGCTGTTATTTCTCTAAGTATAGTACCGCAGGGGTACTATTGTAATTTTCCTCTTTTATTTTTTATTTCCTGTCGCCCTAGTATATATACTAAAAAGCTGGTGCCGCCAGCACCTTTTTGGCTCTCAAAATGGTGGTTCAGTTCACTGTAGCTCTTGTGCCCGAACACCACAACAAAATGGTGTTGCTGAAAGAAAGAACCGACACCTTCTTGAAGTGGCCCGGGGTTTACTAATTCATATGAATGTCCCAAAATGGTTTTGGCTTGAGACTGTCCTTTGTGCTACCTATCTCATCAATCGTATGCCCTCTTGTTGGTTAGAGTGCAAAGCCCCACATCAACTTCTTTTTCCTAAGGCTCCCCTTCTTTCTATTCCTCCTCGTTTGTTTGGTTGTTGTTGTTTTGTTCAAAGTCTGTCACCCACTCGTGGAAAATTAGATCCTTGTGTTATTCCTTGCATCTTCTTGGGGTATTATTTCACTCAGAAGGGATACCGGTGCTTTGATCCTGTTTCTTGGAAGTTTTATGTTTCCATGAATGTCTCTTTCTTTGAGAGTGAGCCTTTCTTCCCTGTTTCTCCTTGGGGGGAGTGTATGAATGAGGAGAAATTTGTTCAGCTCCCTCCTCTTCCTGATCCTCCTCCCTTTCGTGTCTTCTTTCGTTGTCACAAAGGCCAACCATGTTCAAGAGCTGTGGAGAACCTAGAAGTTGTACCACCAATGCCATCAAACTCTCCGGGGGCGGATTATACCCATTCAGGTATTTTGGTTCCTATCGATGTTCCTGACTCTATTGCTATTGATACTTCTATTGCTAATAAACTTGACCTTCCTATTGCTCACCGGAAAGGTGTTAGATCTTGCACCACTAAACACCCCATTTCCCACTTTGTTTCCTATGAAAACATTTCACTTTCTTTTCAGACCTTTCTCTCTTCCATTGACAGTGTTCCTATCCCTAAGAATGTGGCAGAAGCTCTTTCGGTGCCTGAATGGACAGATGCTATGAAGGAAGAAATTAATGCCCTTCATAAAAATGGCACATGGGAACTTGTAGATCTTTCTAAGGGAAAGGATCCAGTTGGATGTAAATGGGTTTTAACAGTTAAACATAGGGCTGATGGCACGGTGTAGCGGTATAAAGCTCGTTTAGTGGTAAAGGGGTTTACACAAGTGTATAGAGTTGATTATGCAGAAACTTTTGCACCCGTTGCCAAGATGAACTCCATTAGAGTCCTTTTCTCTCTTGCTGCTAATCTTGACTGGGATATGCATCAACTCGACATCAAGAATGCCTTTCTGAATTGTGACCTTGAAGTGGAAGTTTACATGGTACAACTCCCTGGTTTTCGGGCTCAAGGTAATGAATAGAAAGTGTGCAGGTTAAAAAAATTATTATATGGGATAAAACAATCACTGAGAGCCTGGTTCAGTAGGTTCCATGCAACGGTTCGACAGAAAGGATACAAGCAGTGTCAATTTGATCACACATTGTTTGTGAAAAGAGGGGAAGGGAAAATTACAGCATTGATAGTATATGTTGATGATATAGTTATCACTGGTGATTGGAAGGATGAAATTCAAAAGTTGAAGATTTTTCTTGCTACCCAGTTTGAAGTAAAGGATCTAGGTCCTCTAAGGTACTTCCTTGGAATTGAAGTGGCCCGCTCA